GTTGACTTCTGTGTACTTACACAAAACACATTCACAACAAAAATAGTTTAATAGTTTTATTGAGATCTTATTCACATACATGTAATTCAGCTGCTTGAAGCATACAGTTCAGGGCCAGCCCTGTGGCCTAGCAATTAAGGGAGCCAGGTCCTACATGGCTGACCACAGTTCAAATCCTAGCCCTTGTGGCTTTAAAAACTTACTGGGGGGACCAGCAGTTAGCGTAGTGGCTATGTCGCTGGACTCCCACGTAGTCAACCGCAGTTCGCGTCCCGGACCCAGTGGCTTAAAACTCATGCCAGGCACGTGTGCGTGTGTGCCCAAGATCCCGAGAGGAGAATGGAGGAGAAGGGATTGCGGTGTGGCCATCCCCCCTGGGAGGTGATTTCTTGCTTTCTGTCTCTCTGTTTCTATCTGGCAAGCGCACGCACCCTATAGCAAAAAACTGTAAAAAACAAACAAACAAACAAAACAAAACAAAAAACCTTACTGGGTCCATGTGCGCGCATGCCCCAAATCTTGATGGAATGGAGAAAAGGAGAGGAGAGTATAGCATGACCATGCCCCTTTGGGGGTACTTTTCTCCTTCTCAGTCTTTGTCTTTATCTGCTGAGCACACCATCTTGTAGCAATTTTTAAAATAATACTAATATAGGGGCCAGCAGGGGGTGTGGTGGTTAAGGTGCTGGACTCCCACATAGCCAACCACAGTTCAAGTCCCCGACCTGATGGCTTGAAAATAATGGCAGGCATATGTGCGTGCCCAAGATCCCGAGAGGAGAATGGAGGAGAAGGGATTGCGGCCTGGCCATCCCCCCTGGGGGGTGATTTCTCACTTTCCCTCTCACTGTCTCCAATGAATGCATGCGCCCTATGGCAACAAAACTGAATAATAAAGTATACAGTTCCATGGCGTGGATTATACTCACTGAATTGTTCATTCATCACAATTTTAGAACATTTTCATTACCTCCAGAAGAAATCTTGATCCCCTTAGCTCTGACCCCTGAACCCTCCCGGCTTATCCCCAGCCCTAAGCCGCCACTAATCTACTTTCGACATCTATCGATTTGCCTTTTCTGCATTTTTCATATAAACGGACGCCTGCCACGTGCTTGGCCATCACCACTATCTAATTTCAGAATATTTCCATCACCCCGAAAAGAAACCCCAGACCCCAAAAGCCCCTTCTCCTACCCCCTGGCAAACTGCTAATACAGTTTTTGTCTCTGTGGGTTTGTTCCTGTAAATGGAAATTTCAGGAATGTTCCATAAGAGGACCCACATGTGGTCTTTTGTGAGTAGCCTCACCCCCTACCATATGCTGTAGCACGGATCAGTATTGGGTGCCTTTCAATTTGTTGCCAAGTAATATTCCATTGAATGAGCAGGCCACATTTTATTTATCCCGTGAGCCTGTTTGTTTGTTTGTTTAAGGTTTATTTACTCTGAGTGAGAGACACAGATAGGGACCGAGGTGTAGCACCTCCAGCAGGGTCTCCATGCCGCAGTCTGCCCTCGGCCGCCAGCCTGGATCATGGGTACATGCCTGGTGCTCTCAGGGAGCCTCTAGACCTGAAGCCACATGTGTGTCTGCTTTATTTCACCACCGTGGAGCCGTCTGGCCTGTGACACCTTTTCATTTCATTTTATTCGCTTTTTTTTTCTTTGAGAGATTTTTGCTATAGGTCTTGTGTGCTCACCGGAGACAGAGAAACAGAGAGAGAATATGAGAAAGTATCCCCCAGAGGGGATGGCCACACCGCAATGCCTTCTGCTCTATTCTCTTGGGATTTGGGGGCACGCATGTACAGGTGCCCAGCATGAGTTTCATGCTACCAGGTCTGGGATTCAAACCTCAGCTGGCCATGTAGAAGTCCAGCACCTTATCAACCTTAACAACTACACCACCTGCTGGCCCCAAGACTTTTGAAAATTTTATTTATTTATTTAATTAATTTATTTTTGCCAGAGGGTACATGTACTTCCTGGAGAGAGACAGAGAGACAGATAGAGAGGCCACTTCTCATGGGGAATGGTCCCCCCACAATCCTTTCTCCATTTCTCCCTTCTTTTGGGATTTTGGGCACACATGCACATGTGCCTAGCATGTTCCTCAAATCGCTGGATCCAGGACTTGAACCATGCAGTTGGCCATGTAGGATCCAGCTGCCTTAATCACCAGGCCATGACGTTGACTCAAGACTTTTTGAAACAGAGAAATAAAAGGAAGATGATTTGTTACAAAATAAGATGAATTGTAATATGTAAGTTCCCAGCTGAGACACAGACAGCTGCTCCCCCCCCCCCACAAAGCCACAAGAGACGGCTACAGAAACAAGCCACAAGAGATGGCTACAGAAGCAGTGACCGAGAGGAGGTGTTGGAGGCCTAAACCATGCAAGTGGCCTGACTACCAATGTCAGTTTTCCGAAGTGATGGGCACGTCTTGGGAAAGTTCAGAACAAGTTGTATTCATGGAAATTCAGGAGCTCTTAAACTGATGCAAAAAATATACTTGGTATTCTGGGGTTCAATTCTGAGCTGAGATTAAACAGGCTTTTCACCAGCATGTCAGTAGCCATGTAAGGGCTCAGCCGCGATGGTGCACAGGGAGCACCAGTTTGGGAGGCTGGAAGGCACACGGGAGGCCTGAACATGGCTCCCGGGCTGGCCCAGATGTGTCAGGTGCAGTGGCATGAGCCAGTGGTCCTAGCTAGTTGGGAGGCTGAGGCAAGAGAATTAGGACACAATGAGATCTTGTCAAATGATGCCTCTTGGGGCCAGCAGGGGTTAAGGCACGTTGAGTTCTGGACCTGGAGGCTTGAAACTCACTCTGGGCAGGTGTGAGTGCATGCCCAGAAGGGACTGCAGTGTGGCCACCCCCACCCCCAGGGGTTGAGGGGGTGATTTCTCGCTCTCTGTCTCTCTGGTGAGCACATGTGCCCTATAACAAAAATCTAAAAAAAAAAAAAAAAAAAAAACAAAAAAAAAAAAAACTTTTTCTCACTCTTTCTTAAAGGATTTTAAAAAGTATCCATATAAGAGCCAGTCGGTGGCGTGGCAGTTAAGTGGCTGGAACCCACGTGCCAATTATGCAGTTCGAGTCCTGGACCCAGTTACTTGAAAAACAAGCCAAGCATGTGTGCGTGCATGCCCAAAATCCTGAGAGGGAGGTTGTGGTTTGGTTGTCCCCTCCAGAGGTGCTTTCTCACCCTCCCTGTGTCCCCAGCAAGCTCCCTACGGAAGGGGAAAAAAAAAGTAGCCACATCAGCTCCAAGACAGTTCTTCACTGTGAGACTCTCACTTGTGGGGTAGATACCTTTGACTCTGCCCATCGAATGTCTGCATCTACACCCTACACCCCCTGCCAAGTCCTTGCAGCAGACAAACATGCCCACAGATTTTCCAAACACCCCTGGGGGTCTGACCTGGGAATAGCGGGGAAAGGCAGGGCTACTAGTTTTAAGGGCAGAATGCACAGGTTTAAGAGCATGTGGAAGGATGTTTGAGGAGGAATTTATATGTAGAAATGCTCTTGGCTTGGGACCAGCAGTTAGCGTAATGGCTATGTCACTGAACTCCTCACGTAGTTGACAGCGGTTCAAATCCCGGACCCGGCGGCTTAAACTCACGCCAGGCGTATGTGCGTGCGTGCCCAAGATCCCGAGAGGAGAATGGAGGAGAAGGGATTGTGGCGTGGCCATCCCCCTTGGGGGGTGATTTCTCGCTTTCTGTCTCTGTGTCTCTCTCTGTCTGTCTGGCAAGCGCATGCGCCTTATAGCAAAAACCTCTCCAAAAAAAGATTTAAAAAAAAAATGCTCTTGGCTTGTGAAAGAGATGAGTAGTTCTGAAATATCCCTGCTGGAATTAAGGTTGGTCAGACTTGACTCTGCTCAGAGAGAGGTGGTTGGAGGACTGGCTACTTGGCAACTGAGAAGGGGTTGGGTGTGCCATATTTAATGACCCACTTTTCCTTTTTCCTTTTTTTTTTTAAAGAATTTTTTATTTTATTTATTCATTCATTCATTTTTTAATTTTGACCAGAGAGAGAGAGGAACTGAGACAGCAAGCCACCGGGTCCAGGGCTCAAACCCTTGTTGGCCATGTGGGAGTGTCCAGTGCCCTAACCACCATGCCACCTGCTGGTCCCCTCCTTTTTCTTTTTCTTTTTTTTTTTCTATTAAATAATTATTTTATTTAACTTTATTTATTTATTTTAATTTGATCAGAGAGGGACAGAGTGAGTGAGAGAGAGAGACAGAAAGCGAGAAAGCAAGCTGCCAGGTTCAGGACTTGAACCATGGTCAGCCTTGTGGGAGTCCAGCGCCCTTAACCACCAAGCCACCTGCCAGCCCCAATGACCCACTTTTTCATCGTGCAGACTCCTCTGCTCACTCCCTGGACGTTGTCTTTTACAGTAAGACACCTGAATTTTCTGCTATGGCTCCCACTCTTGGCACTGCAGACTGGGTGTCTTAAACAACAGAAATTCATTTTCTATCTGGAGGTCAGAAGTCCAAGATGATGGTGTCAGCAGGGCTGGTTTCTTCTGAGACCCCTCCTGGGCTGGTAGATGGCCGTCTTCCCTTTGTCTTCTCTCGACCTTGCCTGTGTGTCTGGCCTCATCCCTTCCTATGAGGACAGCAGTGACAGTGGATGAGAGCCCAACCCCGTGACCTCATTTCACCTCAGCGACCTCTTTAAAGACAGCTCTCCAGATGCTCCTATTTGGAAGTACTAGAGTGAGGATTTCAGCGTGTGAATTTGAGGGGACACAGTGCGGCCCATAACTACTACAGAGTAGGGTGAGGGGCACAGTGGGTCAGGAGTCGCAGAGCCGGGATTTCAGCCCCTTCTCCATCTGGGTGAGCTTGGGGCAAGTCCCCTCTCCCAGGCCCCGGGCGGCTCAGAGACCTGATTTTGGACAGGGGTTTTTATGCCTGGACACTGCTCGGTCTTCGAGCGCTCCAAAGCCGCCCTCTCTCCTCCCCACGCAGGCCAAGCTGATCGTCCCCAACAGCACGGCAGGCCTGATCATCGGCAAGGGGGGCGCGACGGTGAAAGCCGTGATGGAGCAGTCAGGTGCGTGGGTGCAGCTGTCGCAGAAGCCCGAGGGCATCAACCTGCAGGAGCGCGTGGTGACGGTCAGCGGCGAGCCCGAGCAGGTGCACAAGGCCGTGAGCGCCATCGTCCAGAAGGTACAGGAAGACCCCCAGAGCAGCAGCTGCCTCAACATCAGCTACGCCAACGTG